TGTGTGTGTGTGTGTGTCTCCCACTGTTCAAATCCTCTGGTTACCTAAAATGCGATGTGTTCATGCTCGGCTTGGTTATTTCACTGAGTTAATTCCCGATATCGGAGCGTCGTAAAGCCCTAGAGATTGCTCCAGAGTGCGGATTTGTCCCTCCGGGATGTAGCAGCGTCGGTACCAGCCGCTGTCGCCTGCGTCCCCCATGTAGCGCTGTGCTGTCCCATCGGTGTGTTCACCAGCACCGCGGACGGGCTATTACTAGAACCACCCTGGCCATTGGATGTATCAACAGTCCACAACACAGTACAGGCTCTCTATTCGTCGACCACCACTGTCTGTTCAACCCGGATTGGACAGTTTTCACAGACAGAGCTGAACTCGAGCAGCAGATGTCGCTGTTGTTGTGAAACCATCCTCATTGCAGCGGCGAGGAAGAAAGTGGGAGTCGACCTTGGGATATGCCAAAACTGGAAAAAAGAAACATACAACTAAATTAAATTCTTCTTCGTGTTTCACATATTTGTAGGAATATTAATATAACCCATATGAATGGCGTTGTGTCAGGAAGCGTTGAACATAAAAAAAGAAAAGAAAATAAATAGTCAGTTATGAGGGTTAACGGTCAGGCGGGAGTGGGGCAGCCCTTCTGTAAATACAGGGGTCCTCAGAGAAGCTGTCGCTAACAAAGCAGGATCCAAAATGTCGGGAGAGGTGTTTCTCCTGTGGCTGCTCTCGCTTTTACAAACGGTGAGTTCATTAACGCTGCAAACTAGCAGCTGTAGGTGTTTTCTGAGGGATTACACTCAACGTAGACGGCCGGAGAAGATACCAGCTGTGTAACGTTATCTTCTGTTGTGTGTGAGCCGCATCCGCCTTTACTCAGCGTCAACATGACGTGGCTTATCCACAAACCCACGAAGCTGCTCTGTGTTTGTTTCTCTGCTGATTTTTTTACCATTTATAAAGCCATTGGTGTGTCGAAGCGTGAGGAAGAGAGGAAGGAAGAGAGAAATACAACGTTAAGCCAAGACTTCCGGTGTTTTAAATGGACTTATCCCGTTAAAATCGGTTCCTTGTTCAGTGAAATGAACCACAAACACTTAAAACTAGTCAAAATATTAATACAATATTGAGTTATATGGGAACCGTATTGACGGAGAGTGTTTAACACTGGGTGACACAGTTCCCTCCACACAGATACATGAGGGCTGAGCACTGGTTTCCTGATGCCTGAAAGCGAAAACAGATTATGTTAAATCTACCTGGTAAAGTCTTTATTAGCTTGCGTGTCGAGAAAAAGCTGACAAATCAAAGTACCCAGCTAGTAAAAGCAGGACGTTTTTTTTTTTTTTACAGCAGGTTTACATGAGTTGTTTAGCTGTTAAGAGGATGAACACACCTCAGACTGAAACATCCTGTTAATGTTAATTAGCCTTCCTGTTTACTTACATTCCTACCAGACACTGAAATCTCCTGTTCCTCAAAAATCATGCTGAAATTATTTATTTATGATTGGCTCAATCAGCAGAAGTAATTGAGTCAGATTTTTGATAAATAAGTTCAGTCATTCAGTGAAAATGCCAAACATTTGTTCACTACAGCTTAATAGCTGCCAATAATTGGTTTTTCTGCCACATCCCAAATCAAATTAACCCTTTTTTCTTTGTCTGTAGGTCACACTAGTTAAATACTACTGTCACTGAGGCCTTCAGTAAATTTGGACTGTCATAATATTTGATTTTGTATTAATTTAACACACATTTTGTACATTATATGCATTATACGCTTGAGCATTAAGCCTTCCTCGGGGAGTTGGGTTTTGATGTGTCTGAATTTGTTGTTAGGTCTAACTTGCCCATGCCGTGACAATACAGGCATTTGTAGATGAGATAAAATAACATATACCTTTATTAATCCCCCGTAGGAGAAATTCAAATTACACACAGAGCACCTCAAAAAAACTCACACTGACTCCAGGAAGCACTTTTACCCAAACCTTAGAGTTACTGATGATGTTGGTTCTACAAACTCTAAACATGTCATTATATTTTAGAGTTATTCACAGTATCACATACATGTCACATCATAGTTCAATAATAAAGTGTTTGTTTCAGGATTTTATTGCCCTTTTTAAAAAACAGTTATCCACAATCTCCATTCATAATTTCAGGCTTTTTATCAGTAACACGATACTCTTTTATCCTCACACTTCTGCCTATGAGGAATAAGCACTTTATCAATCTTATCTTTTTCCTGTCGTATCCCATCCTTCCTCTCTCCAGCTGTCGGCGTACAGCGCCGATCTGTCTTCTGAGGCTTGCAGGGAGCTGGGCTTCTCCAGCAACCTGCTGTGCAGCTCCTGTGACCTGCTCGGGGAGTTCAGCCTCACCAAGCTCCAGCCCGACTGCCGGCAGTGCTGCCAGCAGGAGGCCCTGATAGAAGCACGCAAGGTAAAGAAAACAACAGAGCTCACGGAACTGGCAAACAGGAAGTCATTCCCTGTCTAGATTCAGTCACAGCAGGGGCTTGTTACAAAGGCCTTATAAAAGGAGATTCAGTGAGAACAGAGGAAGTGTAACCAGAAGCAGGGCTAACAAACGGCGCATGCAGAAAGTGATATAATTGACTCACTGTTTTGTGCTGTATGACTAAGACTTGACAAATTTGATGACGTGCAACAGATAGTTTATTGTGTGGTCTTGAGCTGATCAGTCGGCTGTCTCTAGTCATTTCCTGAGCTTCACAGAAGACAGGCTCCTCAGTGGATAGTAGTAGCACTCAGAGGACCTCCGTGTCAGAATGTGTCATTTATTGACAGGATAACATCTCCCAGTATTTGAACTGCCACTAAAAACAACCTCGTTTTAGCCTCCTTGTCACTGGGTCTGTTGACACTCTTTGCAGCTGTGCATCAGATCTGAGCTGCCACACACCATCTCTGTCACTGTCTGTCTCAATCTCTCTTTCTGATCTTCAGAGTCGAGGCTCCTTAACCCCACTTTGACACTCCCCATGGGGTCCAAGTGTCATGTTTTGCAGTAACAACATCTCTGTAACCAGCGAGGAAGTGTTACTGTGCGCTCGCCGCTCCGGTGATTACTGCAAATTCAAAAGGAGTCCCTGCTGGGCTCTGACGGATAAACACAGAGTCAAGTGATGGTGGAAAAACAGTGTAATTTCTCTTTGATTAAGCAAAGCCCCCTGAGCGTGTGTGGTATCCTAGCAACAGCACCTTGGAAAAGGGTAGTGCACACCTCATTACACCTCTTGATGATAACTCTGTTTCAGACAGACGCTTAGAGGAAAGATTACTCCTCTTCCTCCTCACTATTTGAGTGAAAATGTCACTTAGAAGAGCAATTGGCTGTCTCCAGCTGCACTCTGAGGGTACCAGTAGAAACGACAGTGTCACTAAGCACATTTTCTCCTCAGACAGCAACAATTATCTGCCTTAAGAATTCTTTCAGTCTTGCAATTGACATCAGTGCCGTGTCATTAAACCCTCTGAGAAATGGCTTATTGCGCAGCCTAGTCGATTAGTATGATTCAATGAGCATGGAGGGCATTTCAGTTATTCATTTTCAAATGCGTGCTTCCCTGCAGAGCAACCCGCACATATCAGCACCGTAACTCCCCTGGGTGCCACCATACAGCGTGTCTCTGTAGAGCAGGAAAAAAGCTTCCTGGGAGTCTCTCAGGCCAGTACAGTGGAAGAGAAGAAAAACAAGAGACGCCTTTATGCTTTACAGAATAAGTTTGGCGATATTCTGTGTTTTCCTTGGTGTCAGCAAATCCAATGAAAATGAAACTCTTAACATTTGTGACCTGT